TTAGAATATCGTAATGAATGCTTCTTGTTGGAACCCCGTCCATATAACCTTCTTTTAAATTGTTATTCAATTAAAGCATTAGTTAGACCATAACTAATGCTTTAATTGTAGGTAGTTATAGTGTCATAACTCATAAGCTAAGGGTAATGACGTAGTATGGTTTCAAGTGAAGCTCTCTGAAAATATGTGATTCTCTTTTTCTACACATTAGTATTCACTTTTAATTTCTCTGCTCCACATATTAGTATTTTGCTTAGGAAGTAGATCAAAACTGAAATTCTCGTCTCGATTTACTGGATTCTAATCTCTGGTCTTCCACTTTCTTTGGTTTATTCCAAAGATCACTGTCTTCAGTGATTTTTATGAAGAGTTTGAGAAGCTAAACACAGAATGACAGAAGTATTTGGGGTTTTAAGTTGACAGTGTGGTAAGTCATATATTTATTTTCTCCCCCTGAAGCAGGGAAAAACCTTGTAGTCTTAGTAAAGAAATGTATTTGAGGTACATAATTTGAAATTTAAAATGGCTTAGCTGTACTCAGAACATTGGTTAGTGGAAGTTTGATAAACAGGTTGATCTTAAACAATTGATCCACTTGTGTTCTTTAAAAGTGTTTGGGGGTGTTTATATGCATAATACTGTATTGTTCATATAAACCCTAGATCAATATGCACACACATTATATGCATAATACTGTGTTTTTCTATGCAAATTTGTTTTGCAAGCATTACTGTATGTTCAAGAAAACCCAGCTTTTAAGAGTATTTTTTTCAGCTATTTAGAGGTTAAATACATGTAGAACAAATGTTTGGTGGAAAGCAGAAGCATTTTCTTGTGTTGGAGCTGAATTTGTTATTTTTGCCAGAGAATATTTGTTTGAAAATCTTTTGTTTTTACTCCGTCCTCATTTCTTTTGTTTCTACTATATAGAGGAATACAAAATAGAGGAATTTCTATGTTTTCCTCTGTTTAATTTTGTTTTCACTTGTGTAAATAGTTTAAAATAATGCAAGAGGCAGAGTATTTGACCATAAAAATTAAATACTGAATAAAAGTTTAAATTAAATACTTGATAATTCATTACAACACATCAGGTGAGATCAAGTCTCTGG